TATAGTTTGAACTATAGATCAGTCCATAATTTTGATTATAGATCAGTCTATAGTCTTGACTATAGATCAATCTTTAGTCTTGACTGTAGATTAGTCTATAGTGTATAGATCAGTCTATAGTCTTGACTATAGATCAGTCTATAGTCTTAACTATAGATCAGTCTATAGTCTTAACTATAGATCAGTCTATAGTCTTAACTATAGATCTGTCTATAGTCTGGACTATAGATCAGTCCATAGGCTTGATTATAGATCAGTATATAGTCTTGACTATAGATCAATCTATAGTCTTGACTGTAGATTAGTCTATAGTGTATAGATCAGTATATAGTCTTGACTATAGATTAGTCTATAGTCTTGACTTGATTATAGATCAGTCTATAGTCTTGACTATTGATCAGTCTATAGTCTTCATATGGATCAGTCTATAGTCTTAAGTGTAGATTAGTTTATAGTTTTGACTATAGATTAGACTATAGCCTGTTACTATAGATTAGTCTATAGTCTTGACTATAGATCAGTCTATTGTCTTGACTATAGATCAGTCTATAGTGTTGACTATAGATCAGTCTTGACTATAGATCAGTCTATAGTCTGGACTATAGATCAGTCTATAGTCTGGACTATAGATCAGTCTATAGTCTGGACTTGATTATAGATCAGGCTATAGTCTTGACTGTAGATTAGTCTATAATGTATAGATCAGTCTATAGTCTTGACTATAGATCAGTCTATAGTCTTGACTATAGATCAGTCTATAGTCTTGACTATAGATCAGTCTATAGTCTTGACTATTGATCAGTCTATAGTCTTGACTATAGGTCAGTTTATAGTCTTGACTATAGATCAGTCTATAGTCTTGACTATAGATCAGTCTATAGTCTTGATTATAGATCAGTCTATAGTCTTGACAATAGATCAGTCTAGAGTTTTGACAATTGATCAGTCTATAGCCTAGACCATAGATCTGTCTCTTGTCTTGACTATCAATCAGTTTATACTGTTGACTATAGATCAGTCTATAGCTTTGACTACAGATCAGTTTATAATGTTGACTATAGATCAGTCTATAGTCTTGACTACAAATCAGTTGATACTGTTAACTATAGATCAGTGTATACTGTTGACTACATATCAGTTTATACTGTTGACTATAGATCAGTCTATTAGTCTAAGCTATACATTGATCTATAGTTAATATAATTGACTTATATCAGCTTTGACTATAGATCAGTCCACATCCATGGCTATAGATTACTCCATATTTCTGAGTGTAGATAAGTCTTTGTTAATGACTTTAGATATGCCTATAGATCAGTCTTTAGCCTTAATTAAGTATAAACTGCTATTGTCCTGAATATAGATCAGTCTTGCCCATAGACCAGCCTACATTCTTGACTACAGATCAGTTTATAGTCTTGGATATAGACCAGTCTTGGCTATATCAGTTTATATTTTTGTAATACAGATCTGCCAATAGTTTTTACTATAGATCAGACTATAGTCTTAAATAAATGCTATTTGGGGCACCTTTTGCAAAATTATTACTGTAAAATATTTTATGGTCTGTCAAGCCCTCCTCATTAGTTTTTCGTTAATAATTTTATTTATATAACTCAAAATGTTATTAAACATTTAATTATATAATAGTACACATATTACAATATTTCATGGTCACTTAGCATAAATCTAAAAAACAAAAACAGAGAGGTAGGAGAAATTTACTACTATATTTCAATAATCACATCATCATTACCTATAGCAACTAAATACTGTTGCATTGCTAACCAATTAAATTGTTTTGTGGCCCGAAACGCACTAAAATTTTGTTCATGCAAGTACTAATGCTTTATAACAACGGTTCCATTATTCGAATCATGTGTAATCGTTCAAATATTCTAAATAATTTTACATTTGACTAACGGAAGTCCAACTGTAATTTTTTTTGTTGTTTATTGTAAGCAACCAACTACTAAATCTATATATTTTTTATTTCGGCCTGAATATTTCTATATAATGAAAATACAAAAAAATAGCTTTCGGCCAAATAGTTGTATAACGAATTTTATTCGAAATTCAAATGAATGAAAACTATGTCTTTTTTTGTTTTATAGTAAAAACAAAAAAACCCTCTAAACTTAAATACACTGTAAACAAAAAAGCGTTTTTTTTACTAATTATAATAAAACAACAATAGAAGTTTAACATGAATTAGACAAAAAAAACTATATGTATAGAGAGAAAAAACTTTAACAGCATTTGATTTGATTTGCATAATACTTAATAAACAGTTAAATGCTCTTCATGCATGTCTAGCTTTAAGTTTAGTTTTAATTTTTTTTATAGTTTTTGCTTTTGTTGTTGTTATCTAGTGCTATTTCTTCGAAATAGTTTATAGAATAGTATTTTAGAGAAAAGGGGTGTATTGTTAAGTTGGTTAAGAAGTTTGTAGCACTTGATATCAAGTAAAATAAAAAAACAGTCTATTTTCTTGATCATACCTAAGTCTATAGTCTTGACTATGGATCAAACTATAGTCTTGAATATAGATCATTCAGTAAGTCTATAGACTTGACAATAGCTTAGTCTATAGTCTTGACTATAGCTCTGTCAATAGTGTTGACTATAGGTAAGTCTATAGTATTGAGTATAAATCATTCTATAGCATTGACTGTACATAAGTCTGGACTATAGATCAGTCTATAGTCTTGACTATAGATCAGCCTATAGTCTTGACAATAGATCAGTCTATAGTTCTGACTATATATAGGTCTCTAGTTCTGACTATATAGTCTTGTCTAAAGATCAGTCTGTAGTCTCGGTTATAGATCAGTATATAGTCTTGACTATAGATCAGTATATAGTCGTGACTATAGATAATTATATAGTCTTGACTAAGTATCAGTCTATAGTCTTGACTATAGATCAGTTTATAGTCTTTACTATTGATCAGTCTATAGTCCTAATTATAGATCAGACAAAAAACTTTACTATACATAAGTCTATAGTCTTGACTTTATGATCAGTCTATAGTCTTGGCTATAGATCAGTATATATTCATGACTATAGATCTGTCTATAATCTTGACTATAGATCTTGACTATAGATTTGTTTATAGTCTTCACTACAGATTTGTTTATAGTCTTGAATATAGATTTGTTTATAGTCTTGACAATAGATCAGTCTATAGTCTTGACTATAGATCAATCTATAATCTTGGCTATAGATCAGTCTATAGTCTTGACTATAAGTCAGTCTATAGTTATGACTATAGTCTATAGTCTTGTCTAAAGATCAGTCTATAGTCTTGACTATAGATCAGTTTATAGTCTTGGCTATTGATCAGTCTAAAGTCCCAATTATAGATCAGTCTATAGTCCTAATTATAAAACAGTCAATAGTCTTGACTACAGATCAGTCAATATTCTTGACTATAGATCAGTCTATAGTCTTGACTATAGATCAGTCTATATTCTTGACTATAGATTAGACTATAGTCTTGACTATAGATCAGTCTATAGTCTTGACTATAGATCAGTCTATAGTCTTGACTATAGATCAGTCTATAGTCTTGAGTATAGATCAGTCTATTGTCTTGAATATAGATCAGTCTATAGTCCTAATTATAGAACAGTCTATAATCTTAATCAATAGTCTTGGCTATAGATCAGCCTATAGTCTGGGCTATAGATCAGTCTTTAGTCTTGACTTTATGATCAGTCTATAGTCTTAGTTATAGGTCGTTCTATAATCTTGACTATAGATCTTGGCTATTGGTTTGTTTATAGTCTTGACTATAGATCAGTCTATAGTCCTGACTATAGATCAGTCCATAGTCTTGATTATAGATCAGTCTATATCAGTCTTGATTATAGATCAGTCTATAGTCTTGACTATAGATCAGTCTATAGTCTTGAATATAGATCAGTCTATAGTCTCGACTAGATCAGTATATAGTCTTGACTATAGATCAGTCTATAGTCTTGACTATAGATCAGTCTATAGCCTTGATTATAGATCAGTCTATAGTCTTGATTATAGATCAGTCTATAGTCTTGACTATAGATCAGTCTATAGTCTTGACAATAGGTCAGTCTATTGTTTTGACTATAAATCAGTCTATAGTCTTGCCTAAAGATCAATCTATAGTCTTGACTATAGATCAGTATATAGTCTTCACCATAGATCAGTCCAAAGTGTTGACTATAGACAGTCTATAGTCTTGACTATAGATCAGTCTATAGTCTTGACTATAGATCAGTCTATAGTCTTGACTATAGATCAGTCTATAGTCTTGACTATAGATCAGTCTATAGTCTTGACTATAGATCAGTCTATAATCTTGACTATAGATCAGTCTTGACTATAGATCGATCTATATTCTTGACTATAGATCTGTCTAAAGTCTTGACTATAGATCAGTCTATAGTCTTGACTATAGATCAGTCTATAGTCTTGACTATAGATCAGTCTATAGTGTTGACTATAGATCAGTCAATAATATTGACTTATAGACTTGACTATGGATCATTCTATAATCTTGAGTATACATCATTTTATATTCTAGACTATAAATCAGTATATATTCTTGACTATTGAATTTTTTCTATTTATAGGGTATCACACCATTGTTTATTGCCAATTTATAAACAGTTTTTAGCATTATTCTTCTTTTTTTGTTCGGTGTTTTTTTTTTCAACTCCACACTTATCGGATTGTATGGAAAAAAATAAATAAATTTTAAGTAAAGAGAAATACAAAGCCAGAAACAAGGTTACGTTAGTACAAATATCTATACGATACATCTCTCTATATATAAATTTTATTTTTATAAAACTTTTTTTTTTTTTGTGCTGTGTACATTTCGTTGATTGTGTTTAAAATATGACATCATATTTCATAAAAAAATATTAATTTTCATAATAAAAAAAATTTATAAAACTAAAGCCGGGATTTTTCTTAGGAAAATATTAAAAATGTTAAGATTAACACAAACTTACCTTTTGCATGAGTTAATCCATTAAAAAATGTTAAACCAATTAAGGAAATATTTAAAAATAAACGCCAAAAGTTTAAACTAAACATGATTTTACTATAAAAGAGAAAATTTATAAATAAATTAAGAAAATTTATGAAAACTTTTATTAAAACTTAAAATGAATATTTATATTTTTTTATATTGTAATAAAGCGTTAAAAACTGTTGTGTAGGTATGATTATGTTTAATACCGGAAATTTTTCTTTTTTTATTTTTTCGTAAATTTTTTTTTTTATTAATTTTTTTCTTATTTGTTTTAATTTCCTTTGTGTGTGTTATTTATTTCTTTTATTTTATATATATATTTTTTTTTTGCTTCTGCTGTGTTTAACACCTTCACACTTTTTATATATTTCTTTCCAAAAAATTAAAAATTTCTTTATGCAATAATACAAAATGTTAAATTTTCACTTGAAAACAAAATACAAACACATATTTAGAGAAAAAAAAAACGCATATATTTTCCCCCTTTATTTACTCTTTTTACCCACAAATTTTAACGTACATTTTTTTGTATGATAAAGATAATTTATATTTTTTATTGCTTCTCTGCTTATTTTTTTCTTTATATTTCAAGTATTTAAACCGTATAACGCGTTTCGTTTAATTCCGCCAACAACACGTCTATAGCTGTTGTCTGTTTTACGCCAACTAAATTCAAAATCTTTACGTAAAAAGCCAACTTGTTGAAACTGACTCAGTCGGAGAGTTCTGTGTGAGTGTGAGTGGGTTTTGTTTGTTATTCAGTTAGTAAATCTTTTATTTAACTCATCGTTTAAAACTAGTTTTAATTGCACAGCTGATGATTCACATTTTTATGGTTATTACTCTCTATCTCTTGAACACTCTCTTCACCACGATGTAACTTTATACTCAGGTGAATTTGTGTTCAAAAAGTAAAAGAAAAAGAAAAACAACAAAATATTGCAATTTATTGATTTATATGTAAGTGTGTTTGTTAAATAATGTTGCCAGTTGTAAATTAATTTACTGCTTTATTAGTATTGTTGTTTAAAACCAAAAGAAAATCTCAACACGTGATTGTAAAATTTGTGCGTTTGTTTCTTAAGTCTTTTGTTTTGTGTGGTTTTTAGGGTGTGAGATTTTTTTTTGTTAATTTCTTTAAGAAATGTGAAAAAATCTAATTGGGAAACTAATTTTACTTTTATTTGGCTGTTAAGAAAGTATCTTTTTTATTTAGCTGATGAAAACTAGACATTAGCAATTATATGATAATTAAGAAGAAGTTAGGAAAATCTCCACACGTGAGTGTATAGTTTATTTTTTTTAGAAATGTGTGTGTGTCTTAAGTCTTTTGTTTTTTGGGAGGAACATTTTTATGGTTTCCTTTTTTATGAAATGTGACAAATACCCAATTAGGAAATTAATTTTACTTTTAGTTAGCAAATGACAACTAACTTAAAATCAGCTCCGAATATAGATCGGTTTTTAATCTTGACTATAGATCAGTTCTTTGTCAATGCATAATCAGTGTATACTTTTCACAATAGATCTGTCGACGGACAATAAATCAGTCTTTTCTATAGATCGGTAAATAGATTATTTTCTTACAGTCAAGCTGTTACTATTGTAGATCAGTTTATAGTCAAGATTATAGATCAGTCTACAGTCAAGACTATAGTTCAGTTTACAGTCTAGACTATAGATCAGTTTGTAGTCTAGACTATAGACTGATCTATAGTCGTGGTTTTGTTTATTATTCAGTTAGTAAATCTTTTATTTAACTCTAGACTATATATCGGTCTATAGTCTAGACTGTAGATCGGTCTATAGATCAATCTATAGTCTAGACCATAGATAAGACTATAGATCAGTCTATAGTCAAGACTATAGATCTGTCTATAGATAAGATAAGACTATAGTCAGGCCTATAGATCAGTCTACTTTAGATCAGACTATAGTCATCACTATTGATCAGTCTATACTCAAAACTATAGATCAGTCTATAGTCAAGACTATAGATCAGTCTATAGTCAAGACTATAGATCAGTCTGTAGCCAAGATAAAAGAACATTCTATAATCAAGCCTATTGATAAGTTTATAAGTCTATAGTCTTGAATATAGACTGATCTATAGTCTTGACTGTAGTCTAACTTAAAGTCTCGACTATAGATCTATAGTGTTTATTATATGTAGATCTATAGACTTGACTATAGACTGATCATAGTGTCGACTACAGACTACAGTCTATATTCAAGACTATAGATCAGTCTATAGTCAAGACTATAGATCAGTCTATAGTCAAGAATATAGATAGTCTATAGTCAAGATTATAGATCAATCTAGTCAAAACTATAGATCAGTCTATATTCAAGACTATAGATCGGTCTATAGTCAAGACCATGGATAAGACTATAGTCAGGACTATAGAACAGTCTACAGTCATGACTATTGATCAGTCAATAGTCAAAGCTATAGATCAGTCTATAGTCAAGACTACAGATCAGTCTGTAGTCCAAACTATAGATCAGTCTATAGTCAAGACCATGGATAAGAATTAAGTGAAGTCTATAGATCAGTCTATAGTCAAAACTATAGATCAGTCTATATTCAAAACTATAGATCAGTCAAGGATATAGATCAGTCTATAGTCAATATTATAGATCAGTCTATAGTCAAAACTGTATATCAGTCTATAGTCAAGGCTATATATAAGTCTATTGTCAAGACTGTAGATCATTCTATAGTAAAGACTATAGATCAGTCTGTAGTCAAGACTATGATCAGTTTATAGTCAAGTCTATACATCAGTCAACACTATAGGTTTATAGTCGAGACTTTAAGTTAGACTACAGTCAAAACTATAGATCAGTTTAAATCAACATTATAGACCAGTCTATAATAATAATTGTTGATCAGTCTATAGTCAAAACTATAGAACAGTCGATATTCAAGACTATGGATCAGTATATAGTCAAGACCATAGATCAGTATATAGCCAAGACTATAAATTAGTCTATAGTCAAGACTATAGATGAGTCCATAGTCAAGAATATAGATCAGTCTACAGGCAGGACTTTAGATCAGACTATAGTCATGACTATTGATCAGTCTATAGTCGAGACTGTAGATCAGTCTTTAGTAAAGACTGCAGATAGTCAATAGTCAAGACTTTAGATCAGTCTACAGTTAACATTATAGAGCAGTCTATAGTCAAAACTATAGATCAGTCTATAGTCAAGACTCTAGATCAGTCCATATTGAAGACTGTATAGTAGTATGTAGTCAGGATTATCAGTCTATTGTCATGACTACAGTTTATAATTAAGACTTGAGAACATTATATATTTAAGAAAGTCAATGCTATAAATCTAAGCTAACTTGATCAGTTTATAGCTTACTCTTTAAAGTATTGTCATCATAACGTTACTAGCATTTGCTTTTTAAGAAAGTAAATTAAGCAAACATTTAGCTTTCATCAAAATTAAATTAAAAAGATAATAATAATCCTCTAGTAACACTTTAAAGCAATAAATTATTAAAATTTCTCTAAAATAATTAATAGCAGCAACTTAAGCTGAACATTTTACCAGCATCTCTTTAACATGCCGATAACTATGCAGCATAAAATTTAATATGTTGCAACATAGAATATGTGCAATTGCAACTGTTAAAAAAACACAAATTGTATTAAATTTTAATTATCTTGCCACAAACACTTAAAAAAAGAAAAGCTTTAAAATCGAATTATACTTAATTTCATAGTTAATGGTGATTTGATTTATGTTCTGATTAACACAAGCAGCAGCCGACCATCCAACCATTCAACCACCAGCCGACCATCAGCCAACATAATTGATACAATCAGTGCAATAATTAAAATGTGTTTTATATTTTTATTTTCTTCTATTTTTTTGTTGCTTTTTAAAAATAGCACGTGATATGCCGTTAGATAAGACCCCATATATTTTTTTCAACATACGACTGGTATAAACATGCCATTTTTTGTAGTCCATAAAAATGGTAGTAACCAGCACTTTTGCACTTCTTAAGTTAAATTTCTATTGTGTTTTTGTTGTTGTGGCTGCTTTAATGCAGTTAATGATTTGTTTACAATGTTTACTGTGGCAATAAAAGTCCAATAACCCTTTAAAGGGGAGGTGGTTTAGTAATAAATGGGAGTTCTTATTAACTATATATACAACGCCCTTCTGACTTTACATTACCCTCAGAAAATTCTATTTGATCTTCCTAGAAACTTTTTCAACAGTAGTTTAACATTGTCAATCATGGTTGCTGTTAGGTATCAGGCTGAGTGTTTGGCATGGGTTAATTACAATTTAACTGACCATAACATGGTCATAAATTAAGAGATCTTCATATGAAATTTTTATGGCTGAAATAATTTCTTCCTTTTTAAGTTTATTTCTGTTGTTTTTTGTTATCATCTAAAGCAGAAAATACTTATATTCTATGTGCAGTTAAGAGGGAATGTTTTGAATTCTTGAACTTAAGTGTGTCTTAAAAAGAAATTAAAATTTTTCAAATAAAATTAATGCCATAAAGTAAAAAAAACTCATTTATAGTGATAATTAAAATGCAATCTAGTTTTAGCTGAAAAACTCTCATATCTTTAGGAAAAGGGTGTAAACATTTTATTAGCAAAATTTCTTAATGGAAGTTTTTTGTTTTATAAAGTCGAAGAGAAGACAATGAAGATATATAGCAGGTCATTCTGGACTATGTAATACTCTACATCATCTACATCAGCATTCAGCGGGTTGGTGGTTAGTGTTTTAGTCTGTTAGGCGGAAGCTAGTGGATTTGGTTCGCACCCGTAACCATGCTAAAAAACACTATATATTAGACTCATTCTATGTATCTATCTATCTATCCATCCATCCATCCATCCATCTATCTATCTATCTATCTATCTATCTATCTATCTATCTATCTATCTATCTATCTATCTATCTATCTATCTATCTATCTATCTATCTATCTATCTATCTATCTATCTATCTATCTATCTATCTATCTATCTATCTATCTATCTATCTATCTATCTATCTATCTATCTATCTATCTATCTATCTATCTATCTATCTATCTATCTATCTATCTATCTATCTATCTATCTATCTATCTATCTATCTATCTATCTATCTATCTATCTATCTATCTATCTATCTATCTATCTATCTATCTATCTATCTATCTATCTATCTATCTATCTATCTATCTATCTATCTATCTATCTATCTATCTATCTATCTATCTATCTATCTATCTATCTATCTATCTATCTATCTATCTATCTATCTATCTATCTATCTCTATCTATCTATCTATCTATCTATCTATCTATCTATCTATCTATCTATCTATCTATCTATCTATCTATCTATCTATCTATCTATCTATCTATCTATCTATCTATCTATCTATCTATCTATCTATCTATCTATCTATCTATCTATCTATATCTATCTATCTATCTATCTATCTATCTATCTATCTATCTATCTATCTATCTATCTATCTGTTTACCTATCGTGTCTTTACAAACATTATACCAAATCTATATATCGGTTTTTTCAGTAGTGTAAGGTATAATTGTTATTATTTTTATTACCATCTTAACTTTTATTTTTCTCTATAATTATAAGGGAATAAAGCAAATCATGCTTATCTTAGGAAAAAATGA